CATCACTTAAAGGAGAACTATGAGGTGAGTGCTTTTCGCTCACCTCATAGTTCTAGCCGACGTGTGACAATGAGACTGTCACAGGTCGGCTCAGTAGATCGGGAGGTGAGGGAACACATACCGGCGTTCGCTCACCTCTCGATCTCTAGATAGGCAACGGCAGCTGTCACTCATGCAGCTGGGTGGCCCCCGACATAATCGTCGGGATCCGCTTCAGCTGCGGCGTCTCAGTATACCGCGAGCTGTAGCTCGCGGTATACTGAGCTTAGGGTGACGGGAGGACGCTAGTTTGTGTTCTCCCGTTACCCTTAGGAGAACTATGGGGAAAAGCCCTAACCCCATAGTTCTCCTTTAAATACTATAAAAACGCTGGTATTTTTGTTTACTTGAAAACAATAGTACGGCTGGAGTGGGGCCATATCACTGCTTTAAAATGGGGCCAAAATCTTGAGAAGGACTCCAAGAGCATTGAATACAAGACCACATCTACCCAAAAGACTACCCATGTGTGTCCCCACTAGGGCTATTTTCCCTCTCTTCCTGTCCTTTTTTCAGGATATCATGGGGGCAGGGACCAATGGGAAAACTCCTCAATGTGAAAACAATAAGCAAGGCACTCCTTTTTTTTTTTTTAAACAGATAGGAATTGTGAAACCTCCGTCAGGTTTTATTGTTGTCTGTATCTTTCTTGTGCCAATCACCCTCATTCCCATCTTGTACTGGTATCTTAGAAACAGAACTGGAGGGGAAATCTACCCAAAGTGTAGAGAAGACCTAGCTCTTGGCTGACGTTGGGCTTTACACCATTCAAAGTGTGCTTAACATGTTATAATTTTGAATTATGTGCTTGCCTCCTAAATAGTGTCTATTTCCTTGTATGTTGTGCAAATGATACACTTTGCTGCCAACTCGCTTGAACATTCTTCCTGATACGCACCATGGTATCATAGTAATACATAATACTATAAAAAATTAAATCCTTGCTAAGACAGTATGACTGTTGTAAGTTAAGCTATATGTTTGTGAGTGATTGTTGTTCCAAAGCTTTCTGTAACCAAACCAAGTTTTAGATCACCAGTTCCTTCTGAGTCCTCTGCAAGTGAACCATAGAATAGTATTAGAATAGTTCATGCATGACTGCCATTTTTGTGCCACCTCCCAACAAGAGTGAAGACTTTACCTCTATGCCCTAATCATGCATATCCATTGCTTTAAATTGCAAGCAATACTTTCCCAAAATAATAACCATTTAATAATAATTGGGTTACTATCTAAACACTTTTCTATCAGTTTGTTCAAGTTCAAAACAAACCTGGCGAGGATTTAGGCCTGGTTCACACCTGGGCGTTTTACAGCGTGTTCCTACGCATATCAGGAAGACTGTTCAAGCGAGTTCCTGCCGCGTGGGGGGCGGAGCTGGCGGGAAGTTTGAAAGTGAAAAAAATAAATTAAATAGAGAAAATAAGGAAAAAACATACAAAAAAATTATACCGCCAGTGAAACGCATGTTTTACTGAACGAAAAAACATGAACAAAACGCGAAAAAAACGAGCTGAAAAAATACGCTCAGGTGTAAACCCAGCCTTAGGCTTTAATACCTTTTAGATTTGCAACAGCAACCATTTAAAACAATGTATGGAGCAGATTAATTCTTAATAGCTTAATAGCACCCCAACGCATGGTAACATTACAGTGCAGAGGTGTCCGCTTTCCAGAAAATAGCTCATTGTCAGGGACTTACACAGCCGCGGCGTCTGGTCCGCAGATCCCGGCCCCTCCTCCAGCGCCGACGTCACATTACGACGACGCGCTCCCAGGGCCGCCGCTCGTAGCTCTACCCACTGAACGTTGGCTCCCTCGGTAAAAGTGAGGGAGATTCAATTGCTCGGTGTTCAGTCAATGGAGACTGTACGTGGAACAACTGCTCTCCTGCCACGGACTCGATCAGAAGGAGCCTGTACCTCCCCCTGTATCTCTCCAGCCATCTCAATCGCAAGTAGTGGTTAGAGGCATACTCTGTATACTAGCCTAGGCTGATTGCACTGCCACCTATTGGGTTGAACTGTTATTACAACTCTGCATTCAATATACTTTACCATTCTGTCATAGTGTGCTTACTAGTATACCTTACAGTTACTACTACCAGCTGTGTTTATCAGAGATAAGTACTACCCTGTATTTGAACCTCACATATGAGATTAATATTGTGGGGAATCTATTTTGTTACCCTTGTATGCTGTAATACACTGGGAGATTGTTTATTTCTATAGGTGGTATATGATGTTTGTGGGAGCTGCGCCCCCTCACCGCACCTAAGAGGGTCATAGCAGTCTCCTCAATCTGAACCATCTCCTAATCCGAGTGAGTTGTGTCCTAAGATCCTTAGTTGAGAGCCATAAGCAGTGGGTAGACTCTTACACTCATGCACCTTTTTTGACATGTTAGTAAGCCTATTAAAATAAATATACTGCCTATGAAAATCTAATGCAACACACATGCTTTGACGCACCACAGCAGTGTCAATCCAACCTTATACTCACCTCTCTGGCTGCCCATGTCCCCTAAGGCTTAATTGTTTCAGAGCTGCCTGCAGCTTCCGTCAGTCTCCATGGCATTCAACATTTCCAGGAGTGTCTGCTTGTCACCGTTCCTTTGAAGGAGAACTATGAGGTGAGTGCTTTTCACTCACCTCATAGTTCTAGCCGACCTGTGACTCCAGCGCTGACTGGCGGATCGGACGGGAGAGGGGGCGGGTACAGCTTGCTCTGCCTCTAGGTAGGCAGAGCCAGCTGTCACTTACGCAGCTGGGCGGATCCAGTCGGGATCCGTTTCAGCTGCGGCGTCTCAGTATACCGTGAGCTGTGGCTCGTGGTATACTGAGCTTAGGGTGACGGGAGAACGCTGGTTTGTGTCCTCCCGTTACCCTTAGGAGAACTATGGGGAAAAGCCCTAACCCCATAGTTCTCCTTTAAGTCACAGTGACACCGGGGTTAGATGAAATAACCACAGCCCGTGGTGGGGGACACAGGCATCTCACTCTCCTGGAAGTGTTAAATGCCCAAGAGAGTGATGGAAGCTGCAGTGCTGAAAGAGAGGGAAGTTAGGAGACACAAGTACATTGTCAGGGTTATTCCCAAAAGGGAGAAGAGTTTGGAGAAGGCAGGAGAAGTGAACAATCTAGGACAACATAGCTGATGTGGAAAAATTCTCCAATTCAGCTCACATTCCAGTTCAGCTATGTTGTCCTAGATTGTTCACATTGTGACGTACCCCAGTACTCAGGATGAGTTTGTCCGCCGCTGTATCCTTCCTTGCTCAGGAGATATTGCAACCCCCTAAACCTTAGCTCCCAGTTTCCCCAGTCACTAGTCGAGACTCGAGTGTAGGGTGAAACAAACTCTGATTTATTGAGCAACTGCACAAACCTTTATACAGCAAGTGATGAGATCAGATTATAATCCCATCACATCCACCCTTCCTTCCCCAGACAATCGGTCTGCTCAACACCACAGGGTTTCCCCTGCTAACCAGCTCCAGACAGCCATAGCAGGAGCCTGGCCAGAATGTAATTGTTCTGAGCTCCTTCAGAGTACAAAGGGAGATAGCGAGAAATGGTGCTGATAGTCTTTTCATAACCAGGTAACACAGCATAACGCACTTAAACATAACCCAACACTAATACACATTTAACTTATAAACTCACCATGTTTGTTGTCACACACGTCTCCTGCCTTCTCCAAACGCTTCACCCGTTTGTGAATAAGCCTGTGTGTGTTCTGTTGTAGGGGGGTGCTGGTTTTTAATCTGTAGAGACCTGACAGGTTCTTAGCTACAACCATATTGCAGCTAACAATGAGATTTCACACCAAAGTGTAGCTCCATAGGCAGTGGTGTATTTAGGTTTGGGGCTGCCCTAGGCAAGACAAAACTCGGGTGCCCCCCCCCCC